ACCACTGACCTCCAGAGTAGATGTAAAAAACCCAAGCTCACTGAAAATGCATTCCTCAGCCTAATTTTCTTTAAAAACGTATATAAAATACATTGCTCTGGGGATCTTTCATTGCACGTTTCTGATGACAAATTCATTAGAGGGAGCTGTCTACATTTTTGCAAATTTGAAATATGTTACTTTTGGTATGTTTTGTTGTACGTTTCAGATACAGATCTTTCTTTACACATCCATGAGGTCACAGATCACCCAGCAAACCACTGATCTAAACCCTTTCGTAAACCCAATCAATAGTTAGAGAAAAATGCATTTCAGCCGTATAGTATTAGCCGGATTTTACATTGCTTTTTTCTGTTTTGTGAAATTGTGCTTCACCAGACACAAACCACACCAGAAAAAGTTGTCTATAAGGAAATGCTTGATGGCAAACGTGTTTAATTACAAATCATAGACACAATTAAGTTGTTTTGTGATATTTATTTGCCGTTATGCAAAGAACTGAGCAAAAAATAATTCTTTATTCATCAATATGTTCCTGTAAATTAGGGATGCACTATATTAGAAAAGCATGACATTGCAATATTTTGTTTTTCTGCAGTTTATATTGCAATATACTGTATCTATACAATTTCATCAAATGACTTGAATTGAACTCTATTTGGAAATCATTTTGGTTCAATTGACCCTTCGCTAAGCCACACCCAAAAACCGCCACCCACCAATGGTGGCTTAGCAACTGTAGCTACACGCAGGGGCTCTGTCAAGCTTTCAAGCGAGTGCATATGGATTGTGCAAAACTGATACGCGGTATCCTTAAAGTTTGGACGGCATGGTAGAATCCTTTCCCTTTTCAAAACCTAAAAATGCCAGCGTGGATCAAGCTGTGTGAGGGGCGCTAAAGGAGCAGAGTTTGTTTTGTTTTGATATTCCTGACACAGTGATAGATGGCAATAACTCACACACCTCTTACCCTAAACAGATCTAAACTGTGTTTCCCACAAAAATACAAAGCAGGTTTTACAGCTGTCTTTTTTCTTTCTTTTTTTTTCTTTTTTGCTCGATATTATGAGCACTGCTCTGTTTAAGCCTTCGCCATAGTAATGTTAGTCATACTAATAGCGAATAGGTCAAAATGACATAAGTTATTGATCCGGCAAAAACGAATCTGCGAATCTGTTGCTAACTTTACTGAACTTTATATTTCCATCTATTTCAAGCTACAAATATTTGAAATTACAAATCAACAGAACAAAACCGAGATATGATCACAAACTGAGCACTTGCGATCAATATACTTTACCAGCAGCTGTTTTTCAGTCATTTATAAAGAGCACACAAGCATAATAACAGTGATAGGTAACTTACTGCACATTGTTATTGGTCAATGATTCTACTCTTCAGCACAAATCCATCAGTTTCCCCTTTCTAGCTGCTCTTTCTATGAATGAACTATGTAAAAGCACTGTCAATGCGTGTTTCCTTGTCGGTTAGTAACGCTATATTTCATTGAACAACAACTCATCCGTCAGGCTTTTTGGTTAAAAATTGAGAAATCTTGGTTTAATTTGTTATTATTAGATTATTTTTACATTTCACCTCTCCTGCTGAGCATGAGCTAAGCTGTTGAATGGGGTATGAGGCGGCTAGGCTAAGCTAGCTTCAATTTTGATTAAATTATTCTCTATTCGGTTGCCTATTATGTCGTGAATATACCCATGTAATGCTTACTGCAGTCCTTTTTTCTCTGGCTTTCTCGGATATCTCACCTGTTCGCCAAAAAAATAATAATATCCCTGGCAATGTCTGACACCGGCGTATACACATTGATAAAGCTGTGCCAGGCACGAAAGCTTGACAGGCGTAGCAACAGTAACTAAGGAGGGCGGGGCTTAGCGAAGAATCATTTTTTGCTATTAACAAATAATTAACTAAGACTTTTGCTTCGATAAGCTTCTAATTTTCTTCTTATTAATAGTTATGAAGGAAGTTTAGGTATTGAGTAGGGATGTAGAATAAGATCATGCAGAATATGCTCTAAGTACAAATAAGCAGCCAATATCTAGGCCCATCCGGAATCTGCGCGCGCAGAATTCCACAGATTTTCCGCAGATTTTTAGCCTATCATTAATTGTTTATTTACTTGAGGAAATGTGTGTAAATCTATAATTATTCAGTTTTTTAATTAATTACAGTAATATTATTTACTAATGTGAAAATGTTCATATGATTTATGTACAGTGCAGTTTGTACAGTAATATTTTCTGTGTTTTACTAGATATATTATATGACATAACTTGCTTTATTTACCAAATAAGTTGATTTCTTATTGGATTTGCATTTTAAACATTAAATAAAAGTTAAAAAATACTGTGTATATATATGTATATATATATATATATATATATATATATATATATATATATATATATACTGTGTATATATACTGTGTGTGTGTGTATATATATATATATATATATATATATGTATATATATATATATTTTTTTTTTATTATTTATTTATTTTTTTTTTATTTCACATATTAAGTTTTAGTTATGATGCTCCCAAAATAATTGCACAGAAATCAGCAGACTTTTACCAAATTCTCCGCAGAAATAGCAAAAAATGTCCGCAGATTCCGTCTGGCTTTACCAATATCTCAATCAAATGCATTATAATAAGCAACTAGTTAATAGAGAGAATTGTTCCCTCAAGTATCATCACATTTTCATTGATTGGGATGATTCTGTAGAGGAGTGAACCATGCATAAAATGTAATAAACTAATGAAAAGCTTAGATAAATATAACAAAGCAAAGATAAAAGTGAAATAAACAGTGCCTTGTAAATGTATAATAACTCTAAAGGCCTTCCTGTACAAAATAATTCAATAAAATTATTCATTAAACTTTATAAATTGTGCATTAATTTTTAATTAAATTATTTTTTAATTAAACATGCAAATTATTAACTTTCACTCCATTAGTGTAAAACTCTGCAGTGACCCTATAAATCTATACCCTTGCTCAACTAGAATCCCAACTCACTTCTGCACACATCGTGATATTGATGCGGAAACGTCAAATTGTCCAGCTCTTCTGTAATTATCATTTATTTTGAAAATGAACAAATTGTTCATATTGCTCCGCATTGTTCATTTTACCTAAAAACAGTCAAGTGTATGTTTAAATGTGTTTTTTGGCAGGGGTTTCAGCAGGCTTACTCATGTGTTTCCAATGGGCCTGTTGTGCACAAATGGAAGCTCATTTAGTTTTGGAGTCTTCCATCATGGTGTGCTTGCTTCTTTCTATTAGTCATATCTTTTATGTGGACCCATTAAGATTTTTCCATTCAGAGATGTTTTTGGGACACTCTGTGTCCCTGTAACCAAAGTAAATAGCCTGTGTAGTTAATGTGAAATGATGGCAAGCTGTGATGATCAGCAAACCCTATTGTCAGGGAGAGAGGAATAGGCTAAAATGGTTTAATGCTTTTGACATAGGTCATGCAGAGCATATATAAAAGATAAAACCAGACCATTTGAAACCTCAAGCATAGCTTATACACACACAAAAAATCCATAATATAGCAGTTTTCCGTATTTTGTGCTTCATGTTTTTATTTCCCTCGTTTATTTATACTTTTGAATTGCATTATGGGATCTGAAGTTTCTTCCAACAATATACTATTTCAAGCTACTAAATTGTCAATAAAAGTCACTTTGTTAAACTGTAGAGTTGACTTTTCAACAGCAAAATTCAACAGAGCAGAGATCAAGGTCCCATAATGCAATTCACAACCGAAAATAAATGAAAAACACTTGTGAATCACAAAATGGTTATTAACAGATATTTCCTTAAGAGTACTGTTGACCTTAACTCTTCCCTTGTGGACACATTTGGGCACAAATTTTTCAAGTGTGAATCCAAACTTATTTTGTATTTTCTTTCTTTGTATTTAAAATGTTTTTTTATTATCATTTGTATTTTTAAAACAGTATAAATAATAATAATAATAAAAACATTAGATTGAAGTATTTCCTATTAATTTTCCTATGGGATAAATTACAGTCTTGCTCTTAATTTTGTTAAATCAAGTCCTCTTTTGTGTGTGTGTGTGTGTGTGTGTGTGTGTGTGTGTGTGTGTGTGTGTGTGTGTGTGTGTGTGTGTGTGTGTGTAAGAGAACTATTAAAAATGTTATTAGGGAATACTAATATAAAACTACTATATATAAATAAAATATAATAAAAATATTATTTCAAAAAAAGGCTTGCTCTGGTAAACATCACTTGGGGGGACTAATAATTTTGTCATAAACTGTATCATTGTATATGGCAATATAGTAGGGGGTATGTAGATGGATGGGTTGGGTTAAATCAGGACAGTAGGAAAGTACATGACAGTAGGTAAAGATGGATGGATGGAGGGAGGGATGGATGGATGGATGGATGGATGGATGGATGGATGGATGGATGGATAGATAGATAGATAGATAGATAGATAGATAGATAGATGATAGATAGATAGATAGATAGATAGATAGATAGATAGATAGATAGATAGATAGATAGATAGATAGATAGATAGATAGATAGATAGATAGATAGATAGATAGATAGATAGATAGATAGATAGATAGATTGATTGATGGATGATACATAGATAGATGGATGGATGGATGGAAATATAGATTGATTGATTGATTGATTGATTGAGGGATGGATGGATGGATGGATGGATGGATGGATGGATGGATACATACATACATACATACATACATACATACATACATACATGCATACATACATACATGCATGCATGCATGCATGCATGCATGCATACAAACATACAAACAAACAAACATACAAACAAACATACAAACATACAAAAAATATTGCCCAGAAATGTATTTGGAGCCGATATCACAAAAAATGTAAACAGAACCTGTTTAAAACCAGATCCAATACTCCTTCTCACATTTTTTTCCTCTTTCTCATTGTCAGATGGTGGTGCTGTTGGACCCCATGGAGGATCCAGATGATATTCTTCGAGCTCATCGATCCAGAGAGAAGACTTATATGTTTGACGTGGCCTTCGATTATTCAGCCACGCAGGCAAGTTCGTTCTGTGTTTGTGTTGTGTGTGTTTGAAAGGGCAGAATGATTCAACCAAAGTTAAGATGCTTTGAAAGAGATCACTTTTGTGTGTCTGTTTTTTGTGTTTTTACTCTATGATAAATTATGTATAATCTGTGTTTGAATGGAAAAGTTAGAATGAAAGCTTCCCTGAAATACTCCAAAGGCTCAGTTATATGTGTTTTTGTGTGTGTTTTCTTTAGGACGAGGTGTACAGATACACCACTAAAGGCTTGATTGAAGGACTCATATCAGGGTACAACGCCACTGTTTTCGCCTACGGACCCACAGGTCAGTATAGATGTCTTTCTCACCTAACTAGAGGGATTTTATTTTGCTATACAGTATATTTCTGGGGTTTAAAGAGACATCTTTCTACTGAAGAAATGGAATGTTTATATGTTCAAAATATGTTATACAGATGCTATTTTTTTCTGTTTATAATGTTGCAGGAGTGTTTTATATTATACAACAAACTTTCCAATAAAAAAGTCTATACAGACGAAGACTTAATGAGGCCTCCTGTGAAATGTATTTATTTAATAAATGGTTCTGTCCTCAGTTATTCTCAAGTGCTGTTTAACAGAGAAAAGATTTATTGTATATGATATTTGTATTTATTTATTTATTCATATTTTGTTAGATTTTTGCTGGTTAATTAGGCAAGTCTCTGGACAATGGTGGATTGTTCTGTATAAATCACTAAACTAAAATATTTACTTAAAGGGGGTTGATAATATTGATGTTAGCAGTTTTTCAATATTTAAATTTTATTTCAAATTGTTTTATTTTATTTTAATGATTTGTTTTGTTTTCTTCAGATGTTAATATGCTATACAACAGTGGTCCCAACCTTTTTATCATCGCAAATCGGTCAACACTTGACAATTCCTCCACTGGGATTTTTCCCCTTAGCAAAGAAACTATTCAAAGACGTCTGTTTCTTACTCATTTTGCTGCTTGTGGGTTAAATTTGGGCGCTCAAGTGACCAAGATGTGTACAATAGTTTTTCCCAAATATTTATATTTTATTTATTTAAAATTTATTTAATTTTTTTAAATGTTATTGTTTTCTTCAGATGTTAATATAATGCGAAAAAAATGAAATGTTATAAAATATTTTTCTTAAATATTTATTTTTTATTTATTTAAATTATTTTATTTTATTTTATTTTATTTTATTTTATTTTATTTTATTTTATTTTATTGTTTTCTTCAGATGTTAATATGATGTAAATAAAATGTTATACAGTAGGTTTTCCCAAATATTTTAATTTAATTTAATTTAATTTAATTTAATTTAATTTAATTTAATTTAATTTAATTTAATTTAATTTAATTTAATTTAATTTAATCATTCATTTTCTTGTCGGCTTAGTCCCTTTATTAATCCAGGGTCGCCACAGCGGAATGAACCACCAATTTATCCAGCAAGTTTTTTACGCAGCGGATGCCCTTCCAGTAGCAACCCATCTCTGGGACACATCCACACTTACTCATTCACACACACTCATTCACACATACACTACGGACAATTTATCCTTCCCAATTCACCTGTACCACATGTCTTTGGACTGTGGGGGAAACGGAGCACCCAGAGGAAACCCACGCAAACGCAGGGAGAACATGCAAACTCCACACAGAAACCCTAACTGAGCCAAGGCTAGAACCAGCGACCTTCTTGCTGTGAGGCGACAGCACTACCTACCTGCACCACTGCGTCTGCTAATTTAATTTAATTTAATTTAATTTAATTTAATTTAATTTTATTTTATTTTATTTTATTTTATTTTATTTTATTTTATTTTATTTTATTTTTTAACAAATATAATAAAAATATTATTTAAAAGTTTAACAAGCTTAAATAAAAGCTTGTTCTGTTAAACATAATTTTGGAAATGTTTGAAAATAATTTACAATTTTACATGCTAATAAGTTTGTCTTCAACTGTATGTTCGTTTCCAAGAATATACAGTAGGGAGGTATGCAGATAAATTATATGGTAAAGTAAATCAAGACAGTAAAGCAGTACAGTAGGAAAGTACATGGTATTAGATGGATGGATGGATGGATGAGTGGCCCTATGGCCAATGTAGTAAAAATCACAGACAATCAGTTACGACTAGGGCACACAGATTAGCCTTATCCTGATCTTCTTTTCTGTTCTGTCAACAAAGTCGCCTGCACTGTTTCCACAAAAAGACTAATAGACCAACTATAGCACGCCACGCTTTATAGATGTTGGCATCTGTTTATAAATTCAGTATGTGTGTTCATGTCACTGTATTTCATCACGCCAATCAATAATGCATTATCATATTTCATCAAAACAAATCAATTAAAGGCCTGTTGTTGTGCTGCTTTGAAATGAATCACAGTTCATTCCTGGAAAGCAGATGTCTGTACCGGCCTGCACTAATCTGTCCTCGGAGTGACTCTTACTGACTGTTCCTGTTCCTGGCCGTGGCTATATAAAGCTTAGAGGGCGCAAAATCTGAGCTCAGCCTGACGGGGATAAAAGCTACCTGTAAACATTATGTTTCATTGACTGTGACTCATCTCACACCTGTGCCTTGTGTTTACTTTACGTCAGGCTGATGAGCATAGACTGTATGCTAATTGTTTACTATTATTTCACATTTTTCAGATTTATGAATCAGATTTCTGCAGGTAGGCTTGTTATAGAATTTTCAGGAAGATGTTATTCTAAATGCACGAAATAAAATACAGTTTTTTATTATTATTTAATTTAATTTAATTTAATTTAATTTAATTTAATTTTATTTTATTTTATTTTATTTTATTTTATTTTATTTTATTTTATTTTATTTTATTTTATTATTTTATTGAAATGTTAAAATAATGCAATACTTTCCTGGATCACAAATAGTTTTATTTTTTTTAGTTTAATTTAATTTTATTTTATTGAGATGCTAAAATAATGCAATATATTACTAAGTCGTAGTTTTATTTTATTTTATTTAGTTTAATTTAATTTAATGTATTTTTATTTAATTGAGATGTTAAAATAATGCAATATAATACTGGGTTACAAAGATTCATATTTTTTTAATTTAACTTAATTTAATTTTATATTATTGAGATGTTAAAATAGTGCAATACAATACCGGTTACAAAGATTTTAATTTAATTTATTTTAATTTAATTTATTAAATATTATATTTTATTTTATTGAGATGTTAAATTAATGCAATACAATACTGGGTCACAAAGATTTTTATTTAATAAAAATTTTTTTTTAATGTTTTTATTTTATTTTATTGAGATGTTAATATAATGCAATACAATATGGGGTCACAGAGTTTTTATTATTTTATTTTAATCCTATGTTACAATAATGCAATACAATACAGGGTCACAAAATGTTTATTATTATTATTATTATTATTATTATTATTATTATTATTATTATTATGTTATTGTTAGAGGTAAAATAAAGCAGTATAATATTGGGTCATAAAATTTTTCATTTAATTTTATTACATTTTTTGTTGTTAATTTATACATTTTTTTAAGATTATAGTCATACAGTTTTTTTACTTTTATTTTATTTTGGTTATTTTTTATTTTATTGTTTTAGATGGTAAAATAAAGCAGTATGATATTGGGTCATACATTTTTTTATTGAATTTTTTGGGTTAATTTAATGTAATTACATTTTTTATGTTAAAACAAAGCAGTATGGTATTGGGTCATATCCCATGGGTTGCGGCTGGAACGGCATCCGCTGCGTAAAAAAAAAATGTGCTGGATAAGTTTGTGGTTCATTTCGCTGTGGCGACCCCAGATTAATAAAGCCGAAAAGAAAATGAATGAAATAATGAATATTGGGTCATTTTATTTTGGTTTTATTTTGTCTTACTGTTTTTAGATGGTAAAATAACACAAAATAAGACTAGGTCACAAAATTATTTACTTTAATTTATTTGATTTTATTTAAAAGATATTGCGTACTTTATATGGCATTCTAAAAACAAATAATTGATGATATTTTTTTATTGTGTTAATAAAGATTTGTGTGTGTGTGTACAGGTTGTGGGAAGACTTACACCATGCTGGGAACAGACAGAGAACCTGGCATCTACGTTCGAACATTAAACGACCTGTTCAAAGCCATTGAAGAAACCAGTGATGACATGCAGTACAGCGTCTCCATGTCCTACTTGGAGGTCAGAATTTAATGAAATGCTAAATAGATTTGGTTTTATTTGTATATTTTCATGTTGTGGCTCGTTAACTTCCCTAATGTCACTCTTCCTCCATGCAAAACAAATGCAAAATCCTTCAGTTTTAAATATAAATAAATGGTAACAGCTTAAGTGTTATGTGATAAGACAATCAACAGGCTTGTGAGGAGCGACTGAAATCCTGTGTGTTTATCAGCTCTGTTTTCATGAAGGAGGGGTAAATCTTGTCGGATTAGCGACTGTCTCAGCATCTTTGATTAGACTGATGTCGTATTGATACTAGAAAGCTTGTTCTCCCACTGAGTTGTGATTGGTTTGTCCAAAGTTTACTCAAAACAAATGCATGATCTCGGAGTCCCCACTATCATGTCCAGGCTAGGACACACGGTACCATTCAAGTACACAGAAAAAGAAAAGAACATTCAAGGTCTCTAAAAAAGGCCAGAAGTGATGTTGGAACGCGGATATTGCAGCACTTTAAATTTTATAAAGGAGAAATAACACCCTGTCAAGCTTTAAGCGTCAGACACAATAGAAATGCTGCTAGACAGACTTTGATTGACAAATTGTGCAACGAGGCTGTGGAGGAGAAATGTGAGACGGACAGAGAAAAAAAAGGAAAGAGAATTGAAGTGGTGCTGCTGTCAGCTCAAACATATGATCTCAAATGCACACGCATCACCTGTCAAAAACAGCACACAGCTATTGAGTTTGAAGGTTTAACTTGAGGCCTGGGAGATAAAAACGCTTCCTAGAGACCAAAGTTTCATGTAGACCAAAAGAGTGAGCCTTTTTGACTTAAAAGTCCTGTGAAGTGCTTTGAAAAATACATTTTTAATTCAGAGATTGATGTAATCTCAACTAAAAAATAAAGAGAGGGTGGGACATAAGCCCCTTTCACACATACAGACCTTTCCGGAACATTACCGGCAATTTTCTGGAAAGGTCTGTATGTGTGAACAGGCCCTTTTTGAAAATACCGTTAAATTCGTTCTGGCTATTTTCCGGAAAGAGAAGTTGTAACATTACCTGGAATTTGCCGGAATGTTGTGCTGTGTGAACGGAGAAGGAAGACTACCGGAAAGAGCGCGTGCACGTCTAGAACATGCTGTCGTGAGATGACTGCTTTGGCCAATCAGAACAGTCAGACGCATTCACGTCCGCGCGGTTTATGAGAATAAAAGTCTTTGAATATTTTTCCTGACACATTTAGCTGCTAGAAATTAGTTAGATAACGTTTATATGTTCATCTTAATGCCAACCGTGTAAATAATTATCGATAAGATGCTTATGATAAGCCGTTGTTAGTTTACCCTCAAGCTTTGCGGATGTCGGTGAAACAGCCCGTGAGCGCCAGCACACACACATATCATGTACATCTCGACGTGCGAAAATGTTTCTCTATATGTTTTCATCTAAGTTGTTCACAATACTGATCCATTTACAGAGTTTGTGATGTAGTCAAATGTTTACAAATACAAGCGCAGCCGTTTAGAGCTTATTTCTGGTTATTGATGTCAGAATTTACCAGTATTTTTGAATGGATGTGTGAATGCTGTTTTCCGGAAAAATCCCGTAACGTCCTCGCCTGTGTGTACAGCGGTTTTTTGAATTTACCGGTTAAGTCGTTCCGGAAATTTTATATATATTTACCGGTTTTACTGTGTGAAAGGGGCTATAGAGTATCTCCTCCCCTTAAAAAAAACAGCCAATCATGTTTTACTCTTCCAGTGAGAGCGTTAAGATCAAATGAAAAATAAATGAGAACCGTCGTAAGGGGGAGGGGCATGTCATGTACTAGAAAGCATTTGATTGGTTAAGATTTGAGGAGAAACTAAAGTATGAGGGGATGTCAAAAAGTCGTTGATCCGTTTAGGTGGAAGTGACAAACTGTAAGCTTTGGATTAGTTTTATATTGTGTAAATGTGGATTTTTGCCACTGTTTTAGAGCAGTGATTAATCGAAAAGGTGATTAATCGAAAAGTGATTAATCGGGTGATTAATCGAAAAGTAATCGACATTCAGAACCTATGATCGTTCTAATTTTTCAGATTACTTTCTCTACAGTGTGTGGAGTCACGTGACCTCGCTCTGTTAAGGCTTTCTTAAAGGCTGACATACTTCTGTGGCCACTTTGCAGCCGCATCTGACCTCTGTTTAAGGATGATGGACCCATTCTTGAGCTTTACTTTGCACTACATTGATGATGACTGGAAGCTGTGTCAGATATGCCTTGAGATGGCATATTTTCTATTACATTAAAATTGTTATTTACATTAAAATATTTGTTTACAGAAGATTCCAGAAATGCACTGTTTAAAATAATATTTACAGAATATACATTTTAATTAGAATTATTCATTTTAATTAGAAAATATATTATTCTCTGAAATAATTCTTCCAAAAGTGCAAGTTATTTGTTTTAAATAGTTAAAAAAGTGACTGTTTATTTAGACAATGTGTGTTTTATTTTCAGTTGTTCAATGTTGATGTTCAATAAATAATCAGAAATATTAGATAGTGTGATTCCTTCAATTATTTTTAAAACCAAGTAATGCACCCTTCATTAAGAAAATATGAGCATATTTAAAACTTGTCACTAAATTATAAGGTCAATAAAAATAAATAAATAAATAAAGTCGTTCATTAATTGTAATATAGTTAAAATGTTCAATTAATCCAAATTTTTATTTTAGGCCAAATCGCTCAGCCCTACTTACAACTAATAGACTAAAACTAACTTCAATTTATTATTATTATTATTATTATTTTTTATTATTATTATTATTATTATTATTATTATTATTATTATTATTATTATTATTATTATTATTATTATTATTATTGTTATTATTTCACAGGACCTTTAAACAACCATGAGGAAACATTGGAAACCATTCAAAGCATTCTAGATATCAACGTGTAGAGTTTAATGTAGAGTGAAACATTTGTTATTCTGACAAATTATATACAGTTGAAGTAAAAATTAGTAGCCCTCCTGTGAATAAATTTTTTTTAATTTTTATTTTTTAATTTATTTTTTCCCAAATTATGTTTAACAGAGCAAGGAATTTTTCACAATATTTACTATAATATTTTTTTTTTTCTGGAGAAAGTTCTATTTGTTTTATCTCAGCTAGAATAAAAGCAGATTAGAATAATTAAAAAATATATATTATATTATATTATATTATATTATATTATATTATATTATATTATATTATATTATATTATATTATATTATATTATATTATAATATACTAATCGAATTATGTGTTGTAACATGTAAAACAGGATCATGAAAGGAGCATTCAAAAAGCAACTCATGTAAACACCTTAATCATAAAATTGTCTTATTCAGATTAAGGTAAATAATTTGATTACTGATGTCCATGTAAACATAGTCAGTAATTTGCCTAATTACCCCAACCTGCCTAGTTAACCTACTTAAGCTAAGCCTTTAAAAGTCACTTGGAGCTGAATCTTGAAAAATATCTAGTAAAATATTCTGTACTGTCATTATGGCAAAGATAAAAGAAACCAGTTATTAGAAATGAGTTATTAAACTATTATGTCTTGAAATGTGTTGAAAAAAAATCTTTCCTTTAAACAGAATATATACAGAAAGACTAATAATTCAGGAGAGTTCAATTGTATATTTAGAATATGCTCATAAAACTTTATGCACTCACACACTTTTGATTTAGCTTTCAAGCTTTTGAACATACAGTTGATGTTTGACTTCTTTAGGTTAAATGGGTGTTTGGGAACTATGAGTAACTCACTCCATCCACACACAGAAAGAGCAACCTTCAGTAAACAGCACAATGCTCTCCTGTCCTCTGCTTTTCTTACACCTTCACGTTAAAGCTCCTATTTACTTTGGGCCTTTCAAACACTCAACGGTATCCTTCCCTCGAGAGACAGCCTTTTTTATTCTGTGCTTCTGTGGTTTAGGTTCAGACCTCCCGGTTCGTTTTGCCACTTTTTTTTTTTTTTTTTTGCTTTTTCCATCCACCTATATCTATAGCAGGTCTTCTAGTCTTCATCAGTCAATGGCTTCTTTTCATACTGTCAGAGTGACCCTAAAATTATCACATGCTTACTGCAGATCACAGTGACCTCAGTGACAGCAATGAAATATTACGTTCGGCACGGACTTAAATTAAGCACTTTTGAGGTAGGTGCTCAGGATGTGGCCTTGTTCTAAACCGGGTTGAATGAAGCTTATTGAAAATTTTCTGAAAAATGAAATCCCACAGTCTCAATCCCTCCACTAGCATCCTGAAAACACTGCATATAACAGTTTAAGCTGTCCATTATGGACTGAATATAACAAGCTGTTGAATTGGGGGTGAAAAGTCTGAGAAAATAATCAAATTACAATATGTTTTGATCAATATTGTGATTAATTTAATGTGGAATTTTTGCAACACTTTAATTTTCTCTAATATTCTACAAAGACAAGCAATAGATCATTATACAGTGTAATCAAAACAGTATGTTAATAGCTATCAAATGTATCTTCATAAAATAAATATTTTAGACTTAAACCATTATAATATTGGTTTACAATAAGGTTTCATTAGTTGATGAATTTAATAACATGGACTAATTATGCACAATTTTAATACAGCATTTATTAATCATTGTGCAATTTTTACTAATGCATTATTAACATCAACATTCATGCTTGTTAACGTTAGTCATGCATCATGAGTTAACATGAACTAACAATGAATACAAAATTGTTCAAAATTTAAAATTGCAGATGGCACTTCAGAGAGGTTGAGCTCTTCATATACACTACTAGCCTTTGGAGTCAGTACGTTGTTTAAATGTTTTCATAACAATAAAATGAAATTATAAAATGTTATTGCACTATAAAAGAACAGTTCAAAAGTAGCTTAGAATTTAATTTAATAATTTATTTTAGTGATTTTAAAGATTAAATTTTAGTTTAATTACTTCAGAAATCACTCTAAAATTAATTATTATTATGATTTTTTATGATTTTTTATTAATTAATTTATTGTTATTATTATTATCATTATCATTATTATTATTATTATTAATGGTAATAAAAGCAATAATGACTGGAGTAATATTTTCCTTTGAAACTACTTACAATAAAAAAGCAGTAATTTAAAATTTGACAATTTTTTTTAACAATTATTTTTTTTTTTTACATTTAATAAATGCTGCCTTGATTAACAGAATCATCTTCTTTAAAAAAAAAAAACAAATGAAACTGACCCCAAACTTTTGACCAGTAGTGTACATTAACTAACTTTAACTAACACAACCTTATTGTAAAGTGTTACCATAATTTCTCAGCTATTAGATTTAGTTTAGTCTGGTAAAATGATTGGCAATCGCCTGAATAATTTTGAATTAAATAGACTGAACTTTCTGCAAAGTCTTATGCTGATGTTAGTTAAGACTAACAAACAACATCACATCACTATTTTACATCAGCAATCATTGGTGCTTGTTGAAACGGAACAATACTGTCAAAGGAAGTGTTATTGGAAGTGAAAAGCGAACATTAATTGAAAGCCAATTACCATTCACGTTAATAGCAACTCCCTTATAACATAAATATGTTATAAGAGGACGTCTGCAGGGTCTTAAATTTCCAAAAAATAAAATTAGGCTTT